GTTTCTGAAATAGGTTGGACACAGTTTGTATAATAAAACCCTAATTTCACATCGAAAGAAATTGGGAGTTATGCATCCTAGGAGCCTAGGTGTTCCACGTTTAGCATAACCAGTTTGTTCAGAGAACGTTAAATTACTAGAGTATCTGATACCCAGATCTGCGACTGAGTTGAGTTTGTCTAGCTTTTGCCGATTTACTTCAAGAGTTGGGTCGAAGTTACTGTTGCCCATGCAAATCCAGTCGCATTTGTCAGTGTTAAACTTAAGACAGGATTCAGCACAACTTGTTGTGAGACTACTTAGTTCAAGATGTATTTTACTTACCACATTGTTAAATTCATGGCTGTAGCAGCAGTAAACGTCTGTGGAGTAGTATACATTTATGAGTGGGATTAACTGACAAGGAAACACTTGGCTTTATCTTCACTCAGCTCACATAAATAAATGACAATATCAATTTTATATGAAAGTTTGCGCATATAGATCTAATGCACAGCGTATACATTCGCTAGCCTTAGCTGTCACATTACAAATCTTTTTCATATACATGACTAATGAGCCCGTGTACGCTGTATTGGGACTTCCTGGTTATCGTTTCGTGAAATAAGATTTTAACGGGTTTTTTACATTTGCTGATAGATAAATCAGTTGCATTTGTGCCAAGTGGCTACTATCGGTCTTCAAAAAGGATGGATATCCGCACAATTTAATCGAAAAATTTTCAAAATCGAATCACAACACCAACAAGAATCCATAATCAAAGACCACTAGTAAATTCATACCACGTTATACAAAGAAAATTTCTCTGGAATAACAGGTAGAATATTAAAACCGTTTGAAATAAATATAGCATACAAGCCAGTCAAATCACTCAATTCTATATTGTGCAAACTAAAATATCCAAAAGAAGAAGGAGATAAAATTAATACCATTTGCAGAGTAAATTATATGAACTGTAACAGACATTACATCGGCCAAAGTGGGCGTCCTCTTCGAATATGTATCCAGGAGCGCAAATCAGCTATGAAAAGAAATAATATATATTCTTTCATATCAATGCATATAGATAATTATGGATATCAGTTTGTTTAGGATAATATCGACATTTTAGACAGAGGAAACACCAAGAGTGCCAGAGAATTCCTAGAAGCCTGGGACTCAAATGAATATGCAATTAGCGAACACGTTAATATAGACCAAATACACCAACTGATATAAAGTAAATCATTTGACGAGAAATTTTAAAATACGAATCAGTAAAAATGGTCAGTACACATGTTAAGATGGTCACCGGGAGACGCAATTCTATCACTCATGCAAAGTTTAAATGAGTCCACTTTATGCCAAAAATTGCGCCAAATATGCTGTATGGAAGGATGACGGAAGCTCCGAAACTAAACCAAACAGTTCATAGAAAACTAATAATTGCAAATTATCCACATGAGCTGCATACCTTCTCTATTACTTCTCTTTTGTTTTTGTGTTACTAGGACTGCGGTGCGTAGACCAACCATCAGCTGCCTGAGAAAACGCAGTGTGCCTAGATATTTGATTATTGGGCTATGGAATTTTAGTGGATAACGTAGTTTTCGCATCTGTTATTCTAGTCTAACTTATCTTTACCACTTATAAGTAATGAAGCAACTAGGGTTCCCCTTTTGTATTCTCTTGGTAATGTGGTGTCACGGGCATACACCCGTAACGCAACGTAATCCTTGCTTAGGGCTGCTACGTAGTGCTTACATCTCAGCGGATGGCAGTGCTACAGTGATAGACCGTGAACTATCCTGCATTTCTAGAAGATCTCATCAGGTGATGAATGACAAAAAACGAACTAACTTGCTACCATTGTCGCATATTACTACTGTTGTAAGGGCAAAAATTCTTTTTTTCACATGTACTAGACTCTCCTAACTTGTTGCAGGCATTTTAAATGTTTCATTTATTAGAATACATTCTGTAAAGGTCCTGGAAATAGAGTGAAACCTCAGTTCGTTTTACATTCTGCTCTTAATCGTTGGTACCGAGAAGGATTAACTATCTTAGTTGCTTCACATCCGTGTGTGTGGATATGTAGTCGGTCATTTCACCCGGGAAAGATGTCGGTTTTGGAAGACCACACCTGACCAATACCCATCACGAGTGATAAAAATGTTTAAAAGCAGCTTCTTATTGATTTGAATTGGGGATTCTTTTACAAAAACTGCACGAATATGCGACGAACTTGTGTGGTTTGGAGGAATTGTGATTTTTTATAAAACAAATTCCCTGAACAAATTTGAGGAATGGGTTAGGGATAATTTTTTGCATGATAGGATGAGTCCTTTTTATTTGGTGGGATTTGAGTCAGCTGAATACACTCTGAATAATAAACCATATAATCAATATACTAAATAATTTTAACATGTCTTAAGTGACCAGCCAGTTCGTATAGTGGGTTTAGAATAGCGAACCGAAAATAAGGATGAGTTAAAACTTGTATAGAAGATTAGAACGATCAGCTATCACCCAATATAAGGATAGTTTTATTGTTCAGAGAAGAATGATCCAGAGTTTGAAAATAACTCAGGTTTAAGTGGAGACGGTTACAGAATCACATTCAGTAAGTCAGCCAAAATAAAAGAGGTCGAACACCATAAAAGAACTAAGAATTAACATGAAAAAAGGTAGGCGCTGCTATCAAACTACATCATAAAAGATGTCTTATTCAAATATTTCATCATGTAATTTAGTGACACTAAAGAATCAGATGGATCCTGCGAGTTTCATTGTAGGTTCTTACCATTCCAAGTTATTTTATGGTGAATGTTTTACTCAAGTGTCCCGTCTTCTTTTCATCTGAGGCCTGAAGTAGGGAAGTGTAGATGATCATTGGCTTCACAATCCATTGGGAAATTTATATCTGAATAGGCACTACTGAAATGTTGTGGCAGCATCTCTGCATGATGGTTGTCACCATATATAATAAATATGTTACATATATGCCTTCAAAAAAACACAATTGCTGTGTTTTCAGAATTCGAGGCAGTATTCATAGGTGGGAACTGTGGTCCAGGTAGACGATGGAAACTTCAGGATGGTATTCGCCCTTATGGCAACCGAAAAAATCCCTGGGTTGTTAGTGACTACCACTATTTCCTCCTCAGAGACACTCTGATTAGTAGTCGTATCGATGTCTTCTGTCTACGACACTGCTACCTGAGTATAAACTATGTTGGTGTTAATAATGCGGCTTTTAATGATTAATTCATCCATAAAGCCTCCTAAAATACCTATCATGTCATGGAGAAAATAAAATAAAATTTCTCAAAGAAAATTTTCTTTAACTACTAAACCAGTCTTATTTATATTTGCCGAAAATGTTTGGTGGTCCATTGTTAAGAAATAGGGGATGAGATTATTGACATCATTACTGAGAAGTGGCTTCAAAAGCAAAAATCAAAGCCGCAAACTACATAATATTCAACGGTGCAAAGGAGGAAAGGTTTAGAAATTGGATGAAGTTAAAATCGTTATTGTGTAAGAAGAAAGGTAATTGAGTGTCCATTTAACGAGTGTGGAGAGGGTGAGAAGGTGCTTATGGAGAACCTGTGAGGGTAAATTGACAGTGAATAAATTATTAAAATGAAAGAAGAAACTTCAGAAAAGTCAAAATAAAAATTGCAGGTAAAACCATAGTGGAATAATCGACGAGAGAAACTTTTCCTGCATAGGGAGTTTGGGGTTGTATTGGCAAAGTGCACAAGCCTCCGCTATATGCGAAGTCGAAACTTAATGCCCTCTGTACCACTTGGTCTCATATTTAGATAATTTTGAGAGGTGACTCTGGTTAAGCTGCACAGCTTAAGTTCACCAAGTGCTCGAGATTCGAGCTGGGATCTATCTTGCACTGTTCTTCTGCTAACCATGCCGGATAATGTTCAAAGAAGCGTTTGGAAAGCTTGCTCTTTGTGTGGCCGATATAACTAACTCTTCAGGGACAGGTAAATTTAAAAATAAACATTGAAGTTGCCTAAAGCAGCAGGTTATCATACATATTTGTCAACCTTTTATCAGCTGCAAAAGCTTGTCCAAAACTGATCTAATAAGTGGTTCCTTGTGACCCCAACTGCCCTATCACCTCTAAATTCAAAATTCATAAATAGTTCGTGGGTGTAATATCCACAAAAAGTTCACGCTAACAAACAGTTAATATTCAGTTAGGAAATATAAGTATTTTATTTGTTAAAATTGTCGTCTCTCTTAAAGAATGTCACAGATCTCCCAGCATCAAATATAGAAACCTCAGTAAAAGCATCGTCATTTTGTTCCTTCATTGGACTGGAAATACGAAGCTTTTATAATACTGAAAATCACAAAGATTTCGCAGGCGGAAAGCCCGCCAAATTATTTAGCGTAACGTAAAATATTCACTTTTTATAAACTTATCCAAAATATAACATCCTACCGACACTAAGTAGGCTGAATTAATCACCAGTGTGTTTCAAATATAATACAAACACATCACTGTAATAATACAGAGACAGTTGATCTCTTCAGATGATATATTCATCTCAGTTACTTGGTAGATGTCGTACTACAGCACAGATTAATGAGTTAACTTGTTGGTTGAGAGAGATAATTAATCTCTTTTAATTGTCTTTCGAAGATCCTAGTCTGACTGCATGACTTTAGCATTGATAAGTTTGTGAACTGGTGGAACACTTTGCTTACAGGCAAGTGTAGATACTTGTTGTTACTAGATTCCAAATGTGAATAGTTTCTTATGATATTACCAGTAGGGGAACGAATATTAGCCACCGATTCGCTACATAATTTTTTAAAACTGAATGAATGAAACAAATAGTTTTCTTTTGGAAAATTCTGTTGCCTTGGATGCACAGAAAGAAAATTTCTCGTCATAAGTACATATATATATCGACTGATGTTTGTTTTTTCTCTATGTATTGCAGAGGGAAAATTAATTGTTGTGTTGTTGTGGGTGTTTTGAATTGACTATAATGTGGTCTGCGAATGGTAAGCAATGCGAATGTTGTCTCACATTATATGTAGATTATGGTAGCCTTGGAGTTACTAGTGACTCAGGGGGTGGATATATGACATCAACATCATCTAATTCAAGCCAGAAGGTCTTCAATTTTTATTGCATAACTTCTTACGTTTTCTAGAAAGATAGCAATCAAGGCAGTATTATTCCTTGTACATGCGCTGAAATCATGGCTGCAAGTCAAGATGGCGATAAATGTACTTCTCCCTGTGGCATGGAGCTAAGCCAGGTATATCGACAATCTTTATCGTAAACAGTCTGCAGGTGTCTGTAGTAGGAATAATCCGATCAGTAAATGAGTCAAGTACACGAGTGGAGTATGAGATAGATGACTACACTGGCCCTTACTTAGCAGTGAAAATGTTCATGGAAGACCAGGACAATACACCAGCTATTGTACAATTTCTTCCACTCAGGGAATTATCTTATGTGCGAGTTCATGGTCACGTGAGAATCGTAAACGGAATAAAAAACATTCTTGCTTTTCGAGTAAGCACATCGTATTATTCATCAGTAATTTATTGTTCTGTCTGTGGTTTGTCTTTTTGTGAATTGTTCCTTTAAAATGTTCCCACATTCAACCTAAATGATCACGTTTCAGAATATTTCCAAGTGTGTAAAAACTAAGTGGTGGTGTTCTTCTTGATTCGCTATTACGCTGTTACTTAGGTGACGTAAACCAGTGTCAGCAGTGCTTTCAGTTACATAAATAGTCGGTTATTCAGTTCTCACATTGATGTAGAAATACCCATAGAATGTAACGGCTACAATGTACTCGTAGTCATCAGCTGTAAGATGAGGCCAAATAACAAAAATGAGGATTGAAAATTATTTGAGCACAGTAAAAAGTTTAGTACTGTTTTTAAAATGCTAAAGATCTTAAGCTCAGGTGGTGTGATCATTTTCTGCGATTTGGATGTTGTCTTTGAAAACCTTTCATTCTTTCTGTAGACAGTGTACAAAGCGAATCACTGTCGGCTAGAGAAGTTGTAAACGTTAGCTAAGGTCCACTTTGCATTTTTTCATTATCTTCCTTGAAATCAAGATATCTAGCTGGTAAAAATGTAACACCGTTAAGGCATATATGAGAGGTGGTTCTATGCGAGTGTGTCTAACGTCCACAGATACATCTTGGGTAATATTGTATTAACGAAATCGGTGCGAATGATAAGTGCCATTTGAGGTGACTTCGATTTGCGTGACTAAGAACTTTAGTCCGAAAGTCATTGATTAAGGTAGTTGATGTGACCAGCACTCTGTTTAGCGTTAAATGATAGCGAAATTTTGCTGGCTCTTATCTGCACTGAGATTGAATAGAACAAATTGATTTCACTGTGCTTTTTAACTCTAAGGAAATGTTTTTGACGGTTCTGTTTCACTAATATCTGTCACCCGGACAAAGGCCATTTGGTCTTAAATACTAGCAATATGTTGTGCAATATTATCTCGGTTATATCAGTATTGCTTTATCATCAGTTTCCCAATGACCGATTGTGAGAGATTAAGAGGTGCCTGTAAATATGATCGGAAACGAATCGGTGAAAACGTGGGAAAATTCATGTGTTTCTAGGAAGTACTCTTGCTCATTATTGAGACCCGATACAATGAGCGAGGTTCTGTTATACTTGGAAACTTACATGGTCGTGCATATAAGTTAGGCTTAGTGCCACCACTGTAAGGATTTTGTAGTAGAGTAAGTGTAAAACTTGGATAGTGTAGTAGAGTAGAATTTTATGACGCACGTATCCTTCAGTTAGACGAATTTTTCTCAAACACAGCCCCCATGTTATACATTAGTTCAGTTAGATGGTTCGGTTTATTTAACCACTCATTTAGAACACTTCGAGCGATAACTTATCTGATCCAAAACTGTATTTCAGTTGTCAAACATCCATCCTATGCTGGAATGGAAACTAGACGTCTCTCCTAAATCTAACCGAAGTTGTGAAAGTGGTCTCTAATCTGACAAGAAAAAACAGTAAGACATAATTCGATCCCAAGGTTGTCTAAAGGTGCTAGTGCTTGATGGTTACCACGTTTCATTTAGTCATGGTTATACACTTCCATTCAACATCCATGTCCAGAAGCCTTGATCAGTACCATATGCATAATTTATTTGAAACTCGACGTACTAGCATTCGATAACGTTATATGATTATAACCAGACAGGAGTTTCTAAGTAGAACTGTTCACAGAACTGCAGCTCCCTGCAATCATTTTCTCGAATGACCTTGTAAGTGGAAATATGGCTCATTGACTTAGGTACTTGGTTTTCAGCCGGCGTTCGAGTCCCGCTCCACTTGCACCAACCTGAGCAACTGGGTAGTTTTACCAACCCCCACAAGTTTCGCTTATCCTGGTACACGAGAAATCTGCTTCGGGTTATGATACAAAGCTAATGGTCCTCAAAGGTTAACAGATACCACTGACTGCAATGTCTTTCCCACTTCCCTAGCTTTCGTTATTCGCCGTTTTGCAAATATTTATAACCAGCTTTTGCTTGAGCCGTCTTCACTGATCATGTCAGGATCCAGCTGATATTAGCCTCCTTCCTTGTGTCACTTGAGGTGAGACTGCTGAGGTGCATTGATTGCACGTTACCATCAGCCTTCGTTAATGTTTTTACAGCAACGCAGATATGATGTCAGCGTTCCTTAGGCTGATTATTACTAACAAACTGAGATAGGTTTAGTTATCTTTTCCCTTAATAGATACTCCATATTCTCATCAAAAAGCTGAGAAAGTAAGAGTTTCGTATCTGTTCGTCTTCAATAAGTTAAATTGGTAGCAAGTGATAAGGTGAGATGGAATGTGTTGAATAAGATATGTCAACCCCACAAGTTGGTAGTCGTCATCTCTTAACCCATCCCTATCAGTGATGAGCATTTTCAGCCGAAGTAGAATTCGTTTGGAAAAGTCAGAAGTAGTTGCACTAAAGCATGTGTCCATGGAATACTATGACTCAGTGACTGCAAACTAAGTCCCATTCCTTGTGTGTGTGTGTAGTGGGATTTATATGTTCTCACTAGTCGTGTTTTTTGTTCTTTGTAGTATCATTACTCTTCTGCTCCCTTCTTATGAGAAAAACTTTTTTCCAAGTATAGTGACGTGAACTATTCAGGGTTTCACGTTGATTTTTCTATCCTAACATTACCTACATAAACTTCAATAATGGATTTTTATTTTAAGGTGATATTATTGTCTGATATGAATGAACTTACGGTTCATATTATGGAGGTGATTTACACACGAATGTTGTACATTAAAATCAAATACGATGAAGATAATGAAACAAACAATACTATATTCAGTGAAGATGGAGCACATAACACTACTGGTGCTATCAGTAACGGTCTTACCGTCCTACAAAATCAGATACTGGCGATAGTACGAACATTTGTCGGTGAACGCGGAATTCCTGTCTCACAGTTAATCAAGAAATTGCATGGAATCCCTGAACGACAAATTAGGTAGTTTTTTCTTGGTTATTATATTTTATGTTTATCATACGCAGGTGTTATGTGACGTAAGCTACTGCATAGATGTCATTGTCATTCATGATTTCAAATGAAATCTATGGAGACATCTAATTAAGCTATGTTAAATATTGTAGGTCATACTTCATACGATGCTCATGTTCCCATTTTAAGTATAAAACTATGCCGCTTTGCCAAACGTAGCTACCAGAAATTCGTAGAACAAAGTATGTATGCGTTTAACATAATCAAATTTGATTGTGCCTTTCGTCGTCAAATTTTCACAAAACAGATTATATTCTAAGTAGCTAAAATTATTGAAATACCTTAACAGTGAATGTATTTTGCAGTTGGTTGAATATCCTATTGGATCTTACCAATGTATAGTTATCTTAACCGTGAGGAGCTATGCTGAAAACTCATAAAACCCTACAACGTCTGATTATAGGACATTTTGGAAGAGGTCTTGAACGACTTGTGTAGTGTGGTTGGACTGGAGCGTCATTCAGCGTCATTACTGTCTGTCTTCTAACTCATAGTCGACTGGGGTTTGGAGTTATTTCAGTGCCAAAAGTCCTGTTCCTCTCTCCTCAGTTCTGTAGTTAGCGTCAAATTAGATTGAAAATGAAGTTCAAATAGCTTAGTTTACCATTAACTTCTTTGTTAAACAGATAACCCATTTAATCACTTCTGTACTTTTTCAGAAGAGATTTGGATTTTCTGACTACGGAAGGTCATGTGTATTCAACTGTAGATGATAATCATTTCCGAGCTACTGAGGCATGAAAATGAGTGGAATTTCTCGAAGAGCATTTCGCCTATTTTTTGGACTACTACATTGCATTTAGTGTACAAAGTAATTAAATATATGTTTTGATTTCGAAGAGTTTTTTCATATTGACGATAAGAAGGAGGAAGAGTTTCCGTGAAAAAATGATTATATCTTGAATCTTAATTTAAATCTCGATAATTATATCCTATAGCTCTTAAAGAAAATTTGTGGCTTACATTAAAAGTAGAAATTAGTGTTTTCTGAACTTTCATGTGTGGTCACGGGCTTTTTTAATCAAAATTCATGTAGAAGTTAGGCATATTTTCTGAATGCATAAATATTTAGGAGTTGTGCCTTTTTTGTTTGAATATTTTGGTGAGTAATTTTAAAGTCTTTCAGAGATATAACTTTTGAATCCTAGATTTCATCGTGTTTTGCATTACTCATTTTAATTGTTCATCCACTTGTTCCATATGTCGTATGTCTACATTTGTTGAGTCATAAGATTTACATTTTATCCTACTTTTGATCAAAATTACATTAGTGGCTAGATAAATAGAGAATTTCAAAACTAGAGCAACATAATTTAATCCAGTCTATAATTGCACTTATAAATAATTTCATGGTGAGCAGTAAAATGCATTCGTTTCGATTACATTATCTAAGATAGCTTCGGTTGCCTGAAGTTCCAGATAGATTGGTAGTTTCTAAAATAATGTATTTCAAATCATGGACTAGACCTATTCAGACTTTTGAACAAAACTACACTTATTGATGCACACCTGGTGATATCGTGTAATACAGAGACAGAATTATTTTAGAGAAATCGTCTTCATACGGACGCAACTCGCACAGACTGTGTGCGACTGGCCTCAAGCAGTTTCCGCCTGACCTCTTCAGCTACGCAACCCTGATGTCCCTTGGTTTCAGGTATTTCAAGAAGAAATCAAGTTGCACGCTGTGGGTAGCTGGGAAGTAATAACTGTCCACACACTTCCACATAAAGCTTTCTTGATCATCACTCATCTTCATCTCCATCACTCTAATCGTCTTGTCTTCCTACCATTGTAAACTTTTCCGCAGTATTATATATTATATTATCGTAATATAATGATAATAATAATAATAATAATAATAATACAATACTCAGGACTTTTCTCCAAATAAGACAGCGTGCATCTCGATCTATGGATGTATACTGTATTTCGGAGGAAAGCGTGCTAGTGAAGAAAACTCGCTGCTTGACTGAATAGTGCTGTTCAGCTAAACGGATCAGTTGGAAGAAGGAAAGACTGCGATACTCGTCGATACCCTTTCATAATCTCCGCTTTCTGACAGCTAACTGTAGTTCGGAGGAAGTAAGGGGAGTCTTATTGAAAGATGTCTAGGTTGCTGCTGAGATTTGATCGTTTTAGCAGGTGTCTTAGACTGTACGCATATAGAAAACAGACAATTATGAGGCTATCATGTCTTCAACATTACGGCAACACAGTCTCCATTTGAGGAATATATAGCTAAACTCGTATCTGAAATGGATACCAACGCTCATATTAGGGAAACGTCACATGATATCCAGTCAGCTGCAGAAAGAGTAGCGAAGGCTGCTGATAGTCGAAAACCAAAGTTTAATAAGTGTCTGTCTGTCTGGATTCAACATAGAACTTGGCATCGAAGTGCAGCACTTCGAGTTGCCACGTTCCAAATAGCACACAAAGGTAGACAAGAAATTGAGTGAAGAGAATCAATAGAGTTTTGACAAGTATAAGAGTGAAACAGAATGAGTAATGGTAGAAGAGAATATGAAAGATTACAGAGACTGAATACATCTGCGCCATTGACAACGATTTTGAGTCATGTTACCTATTGTCTCCAGCCATTGATTCTTAGAGTCCCAACCCGGAAGTCTGCATCTGCCTACCTGACTTAGTATAATTGTCATGGATTGATTCCATGTTTTTGTTTGGCAACCAATAACTCTTCTCCAACCTGCACCTATATCAGCTAGTAATGCCCGTCGTGGGAGGCGATGGTTAGGCATGTGCAGCACGTGACCTAGGCATCTCAATCTATGTAACTTTATAGCCTCTTCGATTGATTTTCCCTCTTTACCCAACACTACGCCTAACGTCAACATTACTAACCTTATTATGCCACCTAACGTGAGAAAGAGATCGTAAACATCTATGATCAAAATCAGACAACCTTTTCATGTCTTCAACTCGTATTGGCCATGTTTCAGAGCCATAGAGAAGGTTGGAGCGGACTGATGAGCAGTACACACATCGCTTGGTTGATAGCCGGATGTGTCGCCTATGCCAGAGCAGCCCGCGCTTTTAGGATCCGTGCTGAGGTTTCGTCACCTATCTATCCGTCGGTGCTGATACAACTTCCCAAATAGGTGAAGTGGTCAACATTTTCTATCACTTCACTCCCTATCACTAAGCTAGGAGTTGACGTAGTCCAGTCCTGTAGCAGCATCTTACATTTTACAGGGGCGAATCGCATGCCAAACATACGAAGATTTCTGCTCAATGTGTTCATAAGACTGCATTTTGTCAGCATCCTCCCCCAACAGGACTATGTCATCTGCATATTCCAAGTCCATAAGACTATTCCCTGGTAACAAGTCGATTCCTAAGTCGTTAAGTTCAATTAAGGATACTTCCATTAGCATATCTATGATGAAGTTAAACAGAAAAGGGGAAAGTGGACATCCTTGACGGACACCACTGGTTGTTATCAATTCAGATGACAATTCCCTATAGGTCCTTACATGGCTACGTGAGTTTGAGTAGAGTGCCTTGATTAGTGCAATGTACTTTCTTGGCACTCCCTTCATAGTCAAACATTGCCATAGAACCTCTCGATCCACGGAGTCGAAGTCCGCCTTCAAGTCAAGAAATATGGCAATTGTTGGACGCCTAAAAGTGTGCCTATGTTCTAGGATCTGTCGGAGAGTGAAGATATGATCTATGCACTCTCTACCTGGCCTAAAGCCCGCTTGATTTTCCCTCGTTTGTTCCTCCCGAGTTCGGCTTAGTCTGTTCATGATTACGGAGCCTAGGATTTTAGAGACTATGTTCGTTAGGCTGATTCCTCTATGATTATCACATGAGGACTTGTCTCCCTTCTTGAATATTGGTATAATAAGTGACTTACCCCAGTCTGATGGAACCGTCTCTGATTGCCAGACGTTACCTAGTACCTTAGTTAAACTATATACTAGTATGTCACCCCCATATTTAAACACCTCCGGAATAATTCCGTCGGGTCCTGCCGCTTCGCCTCGTTTCAGATTACAGATAGCTTTTGTGACCTCACATGCAGACGGCGGGCCAGTGTCTATATCCCATTCGGGTGTGTGCTGGATGGCAGGGAGGTTCAGTGTGGCTGTAGGCAAGTTAAATTGTTCCTCGAAGTGTTCTTTCCAGCGTTCAAGGCGTCTATCCTGAGAGCTAATTAAGGAGCCATTTTTCTCAGAAATAGTCTCATTTATGATTTGCCTTCTCCCACCCGTTTCCCTGATGAGTCTAAAGGGTTGCCTAGTGTTGCCTATCGCCGATGCTTTTTCCATCTCTTTCGCCTTTGTTACCCACCACTGTTCACGGTCCTTGCGGAGACTTTTCGTAAGTTTCCTTTTGTGCAGCTTTCGCTCCTCATTGAATTCGGAGCTCGCCTGAATAAGTCCTCTAGCATCTATCAGTTCGGATGAGGCAGTCGAAATCCAATGGTTTTTACTCACCTTTGGATTTACCTTATTCACAGCTTTTACAGCTGTATCTATGGCTGATTGAATATTCTTCCAGGCTTCTTCAGGGTGAGCGCAGCTTTCGAACTCAGATATGTGTTTAGCTAGTTCTTCCCCAAATAGGGACTTAGTTTCCTGATCGAGCTGGGGACGTGATGGGTTTACCGCTAGCTGTTTCCTACGTCCGTTCAGTCGTAAGCACACACGAGCGCGGATTAGTGCGTGTTCGGTATTTACACACGTGTTCCAGAAGGAGCGACAATCTCCTACCGACCCACGCCAACGATAGCTTATTGCTATATGGTCTGTTTGTGTCCAGCGTTGGTTTGATGATGGGGGTCGCCAGGTCAAACAGTGTCTCTCCTTGTGTTTGAAGTCAGTGCTCACAAGAAACAAATGATTATCTGAACAGAACTGTAGGAGACGGTCACCGTTGTCGGTTCGCTGACACGGAATTCCGTATGTGCCACCGACATTCTTCTCAGATTGACACAATTTCCCTACTTGAGCATTAAAGTCACCAGCTAAGACGACTATATCTGAGCGTTTAGCCTTTCGCAGCAAACTAGACAGCTTTTGGTAGAACTCATCCTTTGTTACATCTGAACTGCAATCAGTGGGGGCGTAGGCGGAGATTACGAAAAGGCATCGGCGAGTAGTGCAGTCCTTTCTCCTTTTTACTGATCCGTTCAGACGGACAGCGCACATTTGGCTATCTACCGGGATCCAGTCAAGTAATATCTTTTCTGCCCTAGTACTCAGAGCTATTCCTACACCAGCTAATCCTTGTGAACTAGCTGTGGCATCTCCTGACACCCTTAAGGTGAATTTTGCAGATTCATCCTGATGGCCAGGTGGGGTTAGGTGAATAACGACACTTGGATCTTGTATGCGTGTTTCTGAAACACAACATACATCAATGGCTCGGGATGCCAGAGTCTTGGCTAGTGATGCCTGTTGTCCTATTTGGCAAAGTGTCCTAACATTAAATGCCACTATATGAAATTGGTGACGTGGCTTTAGGAGACTATCAATGGTGGTTTTTTGGCTTCCGTCGTTTTCAGTGCACACAGAGTGAAGAGGAAGTGAAGAGCCATCAAGTAGAGGAGTTGCATCAGTAGAAGGAAGGCAAGATAACAGAGATGAAAATGAAGACAAAGGTGAGTGAGGATTAGAGAGGTTTCGCGTGCATTTCGGATTGTGAGGGCGATTGTTACTTCCTGGCTGCCCACACCGTGGAAGTTGGTTGCGTGACCTCAGAGCCCA